TGTTGCATCGAAACACTGTGACGCTAAATCGATGCTATTTAGCATCGATTTAGCGTCGATTTGTTGCATCGAAACTTAGCATCGATTTAGCGTCGAAAAATTAGCGTCGATTTAGCGTCGTAATTAGTTGCGACGCAAAATTAGCGTCGATTTAGCGTCGAAAATTAATTAGCGTCGAGGGTTTAGCTTCGAAAATGATTTCGACGCTATGGGGTTTTAGCGTCGAATTACGCTGACGCTAAATGTCTGTTTTCTTGTAGTGTATAGCTGCTTTTTTTTCCGTCATCTGAAATATATATTAAACAAAAAATAAAACGGAAAGAATTACACGGCCGGAACTTCAGGCTAAGCCGGTGGAGAAACTTGAATTCCCCAGACACAATGCCCATACAAGGGACATCAAAGGAATCTAAAACTCAAAACAAAAGACTAAGGCTAGCACTTCACCGCTAAGACTACTAAAGATGGGAAATAACACGACCACAACCACAAACCTTACCAAAAGGCAAAGAAATGGTGGAAGGACGGAGACCAAGCCAGACTACAAGAAAGACCAGCCAAAAGGTGCGAGTCCGAGAAGCCAAAAGTCCAAACTACACACCACATAAGCTGAGCAGAGAAGACACCATCTCAAGTAGACAAGCCAGAGCAAAATAAAAGGAACCACAACAAAAGGGATAATCAAGAAGAAACTCCATCCAAGCGACGAAAGCAACAGAGATTGAAGGCGCGATAACATCCCAATTGTTCTAAGCTAAGCCTCGAGATCGCTTCTCTCTTCAAAAACCGTGCACAACAAGGCTTGAAGTGAAGATTCTTCACCAAAGAAAGAACCCAATGATACCGGATAACACGAGCACAAAAGATCAAAAGTTGAAAGACGCTAAGAGGAGGCGAGTTCATGAACGGACAAGCCGCACAGAGGACAAACCACGCCTATCATCCACCAAAGCCCAGCTCGAAGAAAATTAAACCAAATTGCACATGAAACCGGAATAAAGAACCACTTTCTATCTAATCGAAGCACCAACACCAATGCTACAATCCCAATAAATCACCGGAAGAACTAAAACCACCTAGAAGACAAGCTTCGAATCTAGAGATCGAACAACAGAGAGAACAAAGGCAAGATTATGAACACATAGAATCAACCCGTACACTACCAACCAACCGAAGGCGAGCTCCGAGAAAGGCAGATGGCGATGAAGGAAGAAACAAGCTAGAAAGCCCAGAACGGAGCACGAGAACCTCGAGACTGACCCAACCGACAGCCCTGCATATGACAAACTAGCACCATCTCATCTACAAGCTCCGATCAAGACCCACACAATCTGAAACTCCGGTCATCTACGAGCCCAAATCTGAGTTCCGAAACCAAAACGGAAACTAAAAACGACGAGATCGGAAAGCAAAGAGACTATAAACAGGGGACCCGACTCCGACGCTGAGTTAGCCGCCGAACACCGTCCCAAACTGGCAAAAAACGGTGAAGTGTACGGCTAGGTCTTTATCGCTGCAAGAGGAGACCCAAAGGTCATATGCTTGGCACCATTATTTTATTTAAACATTTTTTATTAAATTTGTTCTCAAGTAAAATTTGTTTTAAAAAAAAATGAAGTCGGTGTCGGCAAAAAAAGAGTCTGCCGGAAAAAAAAAATTTACGTATGGGCCTGCGGCTCATTGATTACGGCCCAAGTTTTTTACTTGACCATAACGAAAACTATTACTCCTAAATCGAAGCGTCTAGTCTCTCTCTCTCAACTTGTCGCCGAAGAAGAAGGAGGTCTCGTCAATGGCCGCTAGGTTTCTTAGTTTGAGACGCGCTTTGACTCTCTACCTCAGTAACCAACAACCTCGGATTCCTTTGTCTCAAGGTATCATTTTGTTCTTCTCAACTTTCGGATTCTTCCGAAATCTTTTTACCCGATTTAGCCGCGACAATCATAAAGTTTTGATTTTTTGCTCTGTTTCGAATGTGTCTTCGAGTTTTGGAACATAATACATTCGTGTTGCGGTGTTTTAATGAGCAATTATACTTGTTTATGTGGAAAATGGATGTTCTTTGTCCTCCTTGTGAAAATTAGAGTATGACATAATATAAAAATTTGGGCTTTACAGCTATCCGAGCTCGATTTTCAATCGAAACTGGTAGCTTAAAAGTGTAGGAGTTGTAATTTATACTTGCTTTGATGTTTTGGGCCAAACTTAGTTGGTGGATTTAGCTGAGAATCATCATGAAAAAGTAGTGGTTTTTATTTTCCTATGGGGTGATATTGATCCGTGAACCGAACCAATTATGCGAATCTGTCGAGGTGATAAGCAGACATGTGTAGAAGAGGAGAAAGGAGAAGGGTCTTGGGTTTTGATGTTTGATTTTACACTAGAAGGAGATTGTAAATAGGGAGGTTGGGTAATAGTTTTGTGGGAGATTTTGGTATTGGGTTGTTTTGGGAGCCTTAGGGCTCTGGGACATTGGCAAAGCTGAGAGTACTACTCGCGGTGGCTTGTTTAACATCTGATTCCGCCTTTACATTTTTTGGCCAATGAAACTGAAGTTACGAATGAGCTTTTAAGTTTGTTGTCTTGGAACATATCTAGGCATTGAAACTATTGGCATTTTAGCAAGACACTGGTTAAGTTTTCGAGTTTGGTTTTATTTCGTCCGTAGCTAAGATTCCTTTGATGGCATGGATTAAGTTAGTATTTCAATACTTGCATTTGTAATCTAAACATTGTTTGCATCACTGTCTGGTCATTCTTCTCTTGCTTTGAGCTTTTATGCAAACATTCAATTTGTGAATTGTGACCGCTCTTCCCTTTCTGCTTCGAAACTGCAAATCCATGCGTCACCAATACTCACATTTATGCTGTATTCATAATGAGTTTGACACATAAGATGTGCAAACAATATCCCAGAAGGTTCCTATGATGGCTTGTTATGGTACTGACTGTTTCATTTTTGAAAATAATCTCAGCCGATAAGTTGTGGCAATCGAAGTTTCTCTTCAGCAGAGATAACAGATATGGGAACTTACTTCAGAGACAATTCTGTGTAACGCGTGAGGCTCATGAAGCTTTACAAACCAATGGCCACAGCTCTTCAACCTCTGCTACTGAATTGGCCAAAGCTCCCTCCCCTGCAACGGCCTCTGAGGATCTGATTGTGAAGTACAAGTCCCAGTTGAAAATAAACCCGAGGCATGACTTCATGATGGTCTTTACTTGCAAGGTCTGTGAGACGAGATCAATGAAGATGGCGAGCCGAGAATCATATGAGAACGGCGTCGTGGTGGTACGATGTGGAGGGTGTGATAATCTACACTTGATTGCAGATCGTTGTGGTTGGTTTGGTGAACCGGGAAGCGTGGAGGACTTTCTCGCTGCTCGTGGAGAAGAATTCAAGAAAGTATCCATGGATTCTCTTAACCTTACGTTTGAAGATTTAGCTGGAGAGAAGATGTCCAATGAATAGAGAGAGATAGAGAGCTCTTTCTTTGCTTTTGCTAATGTAACAACTTTGTAACAGACCTTCACATTATGTTCAAGTATCTTTTTTTCTCTGATGGTTCACTGTTTGGTATATTCAAAATGCACAAGAGTGTGTTTCGAATGTTCCATATAAAAATAAGATGTCCATTGAATTAGGACAAAAACAAAATCACATAAGAAACAAAATGGGGTATAAATACTTGTCTTTTGTTTTTGTTTTAATGAAAATTTTAAGAGCTCAACTTCTCAATGATCATTGCAAGAGCTGAATATGTGCCAATAACTGAACATACTGCTCCTACTGTGATAATGAAGACACAGACCACCACCTAGAAACACACCACAAAGATTGTCAAGTTAGGATATGCATATAATAAATAAGCTACCAAATAGACATCATAAACTGAGGGTGGTCATTTGGTTTTCAGTTTTTCCGGTTTAGAGAGATATATACCAAAATTTTCTTCAAAATCGATTTGAGTTTTTATTTCTGATTTGGTTCGGTTATCAGAAGTGAGCAAGGAATACCTGTGTAGGAGTTACTTTTGTCCTTAAGATGCTCAAGAAACAAGCTGGGGGTAGTATCAAAGTCTGTGTCCAAAAACACAAATTTCATAAGAAAAAATGCAAAATATGAATTTTGCTGGTTGCATAAATTAACCAGAAACAATATGTAACTTACAATGAGCATTGTCAAGAATGATCCAATCAATGACATGACAAGGCCTGCAAGAATTGTTGAGTGTCAATAATCATTAGAGAGTATGTATAATTGAAAAAGAAGTAGCACTTTTTAGATTTTTGTTTTTAGTGTGCTTACCGAAGAAGGGAATCGCAAGACCAACGAGCAGAGTAGATATGGCCAATGCGCTTCTAATGGCGATTGCATACAAACGTGACTTCCCATGGTTTGATGGTATTAACTCCTCAAGACTCATTGCAACTGGAGATAATGTCAAAGCATATGTGCTTTCTTTCTATTAAGGTCACACAATTTTTTGTTGCGATTTTCGTAGATGAGAACATAAATAAGATTATGGAAAATAAAAGTGAAACGTTTCTTTGAAAAGGATATTTGGTAAATGGATTGACTACCTGCAAAAATGTTCAGAGAAACGTCAATGATATAAGCAAATTTTATGGTCTTGTGTTATGCAATCAATGATAAATTCTCTAACAATGATAAATATGCTTATTATAGTGTATTTTAAGAGCTTAAATCCTACAAAGAAACCTCATAAAGCTTACCGTGGTCCACAAAGCAATCTTAGACGCAACCAATTCTTGAGGCAGGTTAAGAGTAAACTGTGATTCTGTTGATTCTCCAAACATGCTATATCCCATAACAGCAACGCCCGCATACATCAAAGTACAAATTCCAAAACTGCAAAAACATCGACAACTTTAGAAATTTTTTATGGTAGAGGTTTCAAAACATTTGTAATGTCCTTGTAAGCTTACCATGTCAAGAGAACAGTAGTAAATTGAGAGGGTTTGGCCATTGAAGTATAAATATTTGGGAAAACACCATGTCCTGAGTAACAATAACCATAGAGTCCTACGGAAACCGGTAATGTTGCTAAGTTTAAAGGAGTTCCTTTGCTATGAATTCCAACATCATCAACCAAACCAATCCAAAATAAGCAAAAAACCACCAACACTGATGCAATCACCCCTCCAGCTGCAAAAATTAAGAATATGATTAATTATAACCAGAACCAAACAATAACATTACGTTTTGATACCGAATTAGAAAATGTTACGAATCTGTGTATATATCGAAGTGGAATCCTTGAAGGATCCAAAGAATGATCTTAAGATGTTTTATACCTGAAATGTAACTTAGTACACTAAGATCGCGAAGCCAAACGGTGGGAAGAAAAGCGAGGATGGTAAGCAGTGAAAATAGATGAGGTGCATCTAAGTGAAACCCTCCAATATTTAGACCAGCATTTGGAAAGAGTGAAGAAAGATTATCACTTTCCAAAATTATGTATTCAACACTCATAGCCTGCAAAGAGAGAGAGAGAGCATAGAAGTAGCAATCAAATCTGTAACTTTATCATATCAAAAGGAAAGTTCTAAAGTCCCCTCAAGACATTTTTCTGTCTTACTTGCAGTAACATTTCAGTATCTTAAATATATAAAATATGTATTTTGTCTTTATTGGTATAATATAGAGTAAACTATTGGAGGAATTGCAGGTTGTACTTACATATAGCTCCAGATAGAGTATTATCTGCAATCAAAATTAAGAAAGAGGAAG